GTTGTTGTTATCTCTCTCTCTCTCTCTCTCTCTCTCTCTCTCTCTCTCTCTCTCTCTCTCTCTATATATATATATATATATATATATATATACGTACATGAGTAGAGCGAATGTCTCAATACCCCATATCTTATTGTTTTAAGATGATATAAGATGATGATTATGCATTTACTACTCGATCAAACTAAATGAGGACATCCATTTTACTTGAGTTGGAGATAAGCATAAGAAGAAGAAGAAGAAGAATATATAGCTGAGTTAAAATTAGAAAATATATTATGGACAATAGCCTTTGGTCTCATAGATTTGGTCATGCTAAGAGCCAAAAGTTCTTGTGGTGTTTGGTGGTGATCGAATAGCCACCGCCTCTCCTGCTCTTCCGCCTCACTGCCAGAGTCATGCAGGAGGCGTTCTGGATGCAGTAGTCGACCACTCCTCCTCTCATGCTGTTGCCACTCCACAGTCTCACCACACGCCACGCTATGGATCGCTTCTTCTGCCCGAGCACTAGCAGTGAAGCCCCTTGCTTCCTGGCCTCCTCGACGATCGCCGGCCCTCGCTCTCGCCCTTCCACCACTGATAGTTCCACTTTGATCTGTCAAGATATGCTCATTAGCAGCTTGCTGAAATGTTCTAATTCTCACAACGATCCGATGACTGCTGCAGAAGCGTGCACGGTGGAAATTGCACTGACTGAGCTACAGATAGAGAGGCATGCACGGTGGGAGGGTTCACCTCTGGTCTTCTTGCTTGGCACATGCCTTGCATGGCAAGAAATGCTTGATGGCTTCGTGAGCTCCACTCCGTTTGGGACCGATCGCCTGCAGCGAGTGCACGGCAGGCAGAACTGGTGAACAAGACATCGATCGAAGTAGCGAAGCCAAGCGACGGCAACTTACGACGCCGGCGTGGCTTCACAACGCTCACGAGAACCAAGGAATCGTTGTCGTGGAGGGAATGAGACAAAGCCCATTGGAGAGCAGCCTTCGCTTCCGGTCCCGAGTCCACGGCGACCACGATCTTCCTTCCCGTCACGGCCGCTTTCTTCGCTTCGTCGCCGCCTGCTGCTTCCGCGACCGAAGCCCCGCGATCGGCGACGAACTTGAGCTTCTGCTTCGGCTTCGGTTTCGGCTTCTGCTGTGGAGATCCGAGTCGGATAGGAGCTGCGGCCCTGCTCCTGCAGCAGCACGAGAGCCTTATGCCGCTTCTGCCCATGGCCGGCCACCAAGAAGAAGAAGAAGAAGAAGAAGAAGAAGAAGAAGAAGAAGAAGAAGAAGAAGAAGAAGCTGTTTGATCTAATGACCCTCCTCCGCTTCCTTTAGGTGGTATATGAGGACATGAATGCGCGAACGTGGGGGTGGGTTGAGTTCTCGACGTGCAGGCCATCATCAAGCGTTCGATGAGTTGTTTACGCACACAGGGAGTCGTGCCAACTCTCTCCAAGCTCATAATGCAGACTCTCCTCCACAGAGGTGAATGTTTCCTGCCGAAAGAGCAGCCCTCCAACACTTAGCAAACTGTCGGCAATCACCCGCCATTAATTATATCAAACGTTTGGTTGGATGCATGTGTGTAATGGTGGGAGACGAAGACTCACGTACCAAGAAACAAATAATTTATGGAATTAACAAATCAAAATATGAATTCAAAAATTAGTCAATACCACATCAGCCACGACGCCGTAACACACACCAAGTACGACGAGGATGAAAACAAGGAGCTATAGAAGGTCAAGGTCAACCTGGAGACGTGTCATATCCAACAAAATCTTATCCAAGGCCTTGCTGTCGAGCTGCTGGCACCATTTCTCCCTCCCCCACATACACAAACACACACACACTCTCTCTCTCTCTCTCTTTGCCCAATAGAATGAATACAAGTCTTCTCCCCACGCCTTGTTGAAAGACGGACAACTGGCGATCCGACTTAATTAACGACTCAGGTCGCGAGTAGGGATGTGACAATGTGTATGATCCCACCTCATGTGTGTTAATCGGGGACATGACAAAGAAATCTTATGATAACTCGCATGACATTGTTGTGAATGGATGGCAATGGAATCTTCGGATAGGCATGAACACCACGATCAGGACATTCCAATCAAAAATTTGCTCAACATGCAGGGCACTTCAGAGTGTTGAGTTAGGCAGCGTTTGGGCCATGCAACGCCATGGCACAGTGAACGTACTAGTGCTGGCATCTTGTCATGAGTGTTGCCACGAGATCGAAGTCCTTTTGGCCAGTGTCTGAAACACCACTTCACAAGAAATTAAGGCTCTTATCAAGAAATTACACTTGATCTTTTATCTTGATAAATTAATAACCACCTGTTAGCAATAATATTTTATTTATTTTTATATGCAGTCTTTCCTTCAATCCAAAAAACAGAGAAATAGGGAGGTAAAAGGACCGGTACATGGTTAATATAGTATTAGGTTTTCTCTAATCCCATTTACTTATTGAAGATACAGTTGGACGCCCAAACAAAAGTAAATTGGACGGACATACCCGGAGACTAGCGCAGATGGGACACGGTCGTCTCGAATCGTCATCATATAAATATATGTATATAATGGCACTATTCTCAGGGGCCGTTCAAGTGGGTGAGCATCCATGGCGGCAACAAGCTGTTACCGATTCGGACCTGCGGCTCTGCAGCTTCCTCCCCCTCCATCGTCGCCCTTCCTTGGTAAGATCTGCACCGTGAGAAGGTTAAGCTAATACATCAGAAGACTTGATGATATTGGAATGTAAGCTCAGGTGGCACGTATGATACCTACGTAGACACCGATATCTTTATAGGGTTCGATAGGACTTTGAAACATACCAATAGATTAATTTGATGCACAGGAAACATAGTATTTGAATCGACGACCAATGATACCTTTAGATTAGCTTTTAGTTCCACACATTGAAGGAAAAACAATTAAATTAAATTAACCTAATGACATTAGACCTTGCACTTATAAATATTCAAATTGAATTAAAAATCAAATCGGACTTGAGCCGAATCTTAATCGAACCGATACAATCTGAATTTTGAATGTTATAAACTATTCCAGTTTGGGAGGTTACTCTTCCAATTAAATTAATCGATACAACCTTATAGCTTTCTTTAAGGTTGTTGTCAGGAGTTTCATCTTTGTATTATGTTATTATTGATTCCTTTTTTTCTTTCTACACCTATTTTTTTTAATATTTAGAATAATATTTTGTGATATAATTTTTTTGAAAATATCGATCAAATTGGATCAAAATTCTAGTTTGATTAAATTAAATTAAATCACTTCATCGAGCCAAATCGGTTCATTAGATATTTATATTTTTTTAAAGCACTTAAGATTAAAAATTAATTAATCAATTTTGATTAATCTGATTAAAAATCACTTGTTAACGGTGCAAACTTCACATGTTATTTTCTTAAAAATGGAACTTGGCAAATATAACAAAACACATACATGATTTTCTTTTACTTGGATTTTATCTTGTGACTAGCAAGCCATCGAGGTGTATAACAAACATGATTTTAATATGTATAGGATTGCAAGTTTGTGTAGTTAATATTACCTGATGTTTAGGGTAGAATGAGGCTCGGCCATTAAGAAGGCAGGCGGTGGCGAGGAGATTGTTTGAGGGTGTTCCCATTGTGCTTGCTGGATGAGAACCTTGGCCTTCTGCTTCTCCGTAATCTTGTTCGGATCGGAGCAAAGCTAATTAGGAAGTTACAGAACCACATTAAATCAGGCAATGGACAAGAAGCTACCTGTTTCTCCAAATTCTTGTTTTGCTCCCGCAGTGCCTTCTCCTGTACATTAGAAAGAAATGACGACTTAAATGTAACTTAAGAAAGTGAAAGGCAAAAATGTCGATTTCCAGACCATGGAATCTACTGAATCATCAAGAAATATTAACTTTAACTCTTGATATCAATTATATGAAAGCCGACTTCTACCTTCTGTCTGGCGACCCAAGAAGTAGGTTTATCTGTCTTTGAACAGGATATATATCATACATTAAACATGAACATGTGAATAAAAAATTCACTGCAACTCTATCGTCAGGCTATCACAAATGGTTTCATCATTATTAGTTTGAGAAAATATGATCCCTGACAAAATTCCGACCACTTGCGGAGTGCAGCTGTAGCATGCTAATATCCTGGCAAGCAAGTTAAAAGTAAAAATTAAAAATAAAAACCGACCGGTTACCATATACTGCAACCATTAATTCCTTATCGCCTGTAGAACTAGAGATCCAAAATTGTGGAATGGAAGAACTGTGGAAGTATCTGAAAATGAGCTAAATGCTTCATACTGATGAAACCATCAGTTTTACTTTGCAATCATACTTTGATCAAAGTTCATTTGTGCTATGTAGTCACTGTACCCTTGTCGGTAAGGGTGAAAAGCAAAAGACCGAAATCTCTTTATTAGAGTAGAGAGAGAGAGAGAGACTGCTCCTAGGGGCTATCAGAAGACGTCATCCTTCATGGAGACGGATGCATAACTGCATCGACTTTTTTACTTGATCCCAAGTCCAGCTTATTATGGTGCTTTCATTGTTTGTCTTAAGAAAAGAAACTATTTCCACAACCAACCACACCTTGTGAAGTACTCGAGAGCTGCTTTATTCATAATTCTTGAGGTGTTTGTGTTACTTTGAACTGAACTTCTGATAAGGAAAAGATGTTTCTTGTTATCATGTGTATCCAGCCTCATGTCATCATTAATGAAATCAAAATGATCAGTTCACCTTCTCTATACTTTTTGAGCCTCATGTTATTAGAATGACTTCTAAATGAGTTCGTGGGCAATTGCTTGTTATTGTTTATGAATTTGTTTTAGCCACCTAAATGAATATCAAGGCTTGTTCCAACTAATACCCTGTATTTTGGAATATTTCTCGTTGTTATATTTATATTTCATCTTTCAAAGTTACATAATGATATATCCATATTGTTTAAAATTAATTGTCCATGTCAACATTCATGCTCTATGGATTGAAAACTCAATAGCTCTATCCCCAATTGAATACCTGGACTTACATGTGTACTTGTTGCCCTGTGATTCCCTTTCTTAAACACAGTAACTATTGGCAATAAATTGAAACTGCAAGCAGGATATTGAACCTCAAATCAGTGCTAACACTACACTGCACCTGAACTCAACCCAGAACGTATGGAATTTGATCGATTTTTAGGTCAGTAGATATGCTATATGCATATGGAAGACATCTACTGCATAATTACGGGCAATATACACCTTCAAACAAATTCATTTACCTTGGTTTGAAGCTCAGCAATGGAATCAAACATTACTTGGCTCTGCAACAGAAATAAATTCCATCAGCTTCGGCAGCTTCAAGAGTCCAAGAACTATACATCAATTGAGGAACATGTCTTACTTACATGCTAGGTATACCTTGATTATGAGATTAGCAAAAGTTCTGAGACATATGCCTTACCTTTCTTGATCTAATGTGCCTCAGAGAAGTTTCCAGCTGATTCTCCAGTTGTTGGAGTTCTTTAACATTCAAGGAGTCTAATTGTTCTCCCATTAGGTGCCTGGAGTAATAGGAACATGGCATGTAACTCATCTGCAGTAATCGAATTCTCAACTGTGATCATAATTTATTACCTTTGACTTTTACTTAAAGCCTCAACCTTAGCCTTAAGTTTGCCATATTCGTGACACCAGTTGCCCTGTGTAGTATCGGCCAAAATATTAGAAGACAGCAAATTGCTTGTCGCCGGTGACTCATTGTTGGTAATTTGCATCTACTAAGCGATCCACACACAACTAGAAAGCACAAACTGATGCAACGATTTGATGTTCTGTGTTGTAATTTGCAACCCTTGAAATATAACAGTTTAAACTAGTAGTAATTAACTTTCTCTAGTTCAAACTGAATATAAGAAGACTTCTAATTTTTCAGCTATTAGCAAATGCCTCTGATGATGCAAACGGGCCTGAAAACTAAATGCAATTTATACTCTTGCAGATGCACTAAAGGATCAATCGGAGAATGCCTGCACGCATAAGAAAAGCAAGTACAGTTAAGAAAGATTCACGTTCTAAAGTTCCACTAAATAAGAATGCAAATAAAGAACCTTCCCAATAATAAGCATTCGAGGATCATACTTATTCCTGACCTTTCTTCTGTTCCCTCCCTTTTCTTCCTTTCAGCCCGCATGTCAAACAGAAAAATAAGGCTAGAACACGTTCCCTCCGACCAGTATTTCTTACCATGTAAATCATTATTTAGTAGATACTAACATGATTGATGAGAACTATTAGCTCAAGATGCAAGAAGTACAAAGAAATAACGATTCTAATCAGCAATAATGTCATAGAATATAATTTTGTTGAAGTTTCATTTCAAACAATGTTTTACCTTTCATGTAGTCTTTTTTAAGGACTGGCCCTATTTAGATAATCCTTCCCCTATAACAGGGCTTATTTCCATCCTATTAATCACCGGTACCTCAGAATTCCGCGAGGTTTTGAGGTCAATTAAGCTCAGCCGAATGTCAGCAAGCCAAGTTTGAGCAGTATTAAGTATTGCTATTATCACCAAGTCAACGTTTCATAAAGCTTAGACTTGATCTTGTATGCAGCTCATGGCTAAAGTCTTTCCAGAATATTCTCTTTTAAGAAAGTTGATAGTTATGTGATTATTAGATACATTTAATTAAACTAGAACATGGATGTATAACAGCCCATTGTGACTAGTAAAAGAGCATTAATCTATACTGATCTACCTACTTATGAGGACATATTCCACATATCTAAATGAGGACGAAATTAAATACTATAGCACGGCATTAAATTTATCAGGGGGCAAAAGAATATCAAGTACTGCACATTAACTAATAAGTGCGAGACGTCACAAGATTTCAACTAATGTGTAGCATAAGATAATCCGTGGTATACAATCAGGTCCAAAAGATAAAATTACTTGGAAACTTGTCAAATAAATCTGTAGCAACTAGGACATGTGTTTAGAGTTGTTCCAGATCTATATGATGCATGAATCAGCAATGAGCTTACGGACCTGTGATTCAAGATCAGATGAGGCAATTGCCTTTTCTGCATAAGAGTACTGCTCGTAACGTCCGAGAATCTTTTCCATACTGGAAAAAATATATACTTTTGTAAGTAAATATTCATGATTAGTTGGAGCAAAGCAACAGGATAATGTCCATAATGCATCGGTGACTATACAAAACTGAGGCATAGATACGATCATTCTACCTTACTGTATAGCGTGCTATTCTTTTTTTGGACATTATCAGTTTTGCATAATGTACTATTTCTTTAATACAGAAAGTAAAAGGATAATCTCCAAATACATCAGTGACTATACAAATCTGATTAATGGAAAAGATCATCTTTCTTCAATGTAGTTTTGTTTCTTTAATGAAGAACGTAAAAGAGTATAATACAAGAAAAGCACAAATAAGAAGTTCATGGATAGCTTGAGCATACACATACAGTTTTGTCACTGCACTCGCAACCAAGAAGGCAGACTCGCAGATTTAATGGTACTACCGTACTGCACTGCCTAAAGTGATATAATGGTGCGTTGTGCTTTAACATAGGTGCAACAAAGAGAAATTTGCATGAATATTGCACTTTAGAAGTTATAGGAAATGAAATTCTCTGCATGATCAGGAGTTGTGGTGTCTGCTTAGCTAACGAATCATTTTATGTGAAGCATCTTGCAAGATATATTCATTAACTTGTAAAAAACATTTCCTCTATCATTATTCAAACATTCTCTAATTTTAAGTGCAATTCTGCCAATCGCATTCATATAGAACTGAAACTTCTTTCACTTTTGAGTATGCTCTATGTAAACTCTAGAGGTTCTGAAAGTGATCATGGAGTCCGAGTCCACTCAAGAAATAATAAAGTTGCACATTGAATCTAATACATTTTCTTCTTTTGTTCTCTATTATAGGATCTTCATCGTGTTTATTATTTCTACATGATTTTTTTTGTTTTCCGTCCTTATAGGTGTCAAGTTGGCAATTAAAAGCTTTAGCAGATAGACATGCTATTCTCATACGACATACCAAGGCGTCATCATAGACATCAATCAGCAAGTCAGGGAGCAAAATGTATAGTGATTATCAAAAGTAAATCCAAGAAAAGATTGCACTTACTGCACGAGACAGATTCAACAAGGAACCCTTGTTCACCAAGTATCTGGTTCTCGTTTATGAACCAAGAACTTGTGCATTATGAAACTGTGACCATTTAGTATAGCACAATACCTTGTAGAGTACAATTAGAAGTCTTCTTTATATTCCTTTTGAATAAACTGATGGACCTATGCCCTTTTTTTTACACTATTTAGGGGTATGCCTGCGAATTAATTCAATCATAATCAGATGGTTTAAATGTGCTGGAAATGCAAGTTAGATACAGAAACACGAAAGAAAATACGTCATAAGTTTGATATTTTGCCTGAACAGTTACAATTAGGAACCAGATTGATCATAAAGATCTTATAGAGATACCTCTCTATGCTAATCAATCATACTACCAGAAAATACAAGTAGTTAATTCTTATCGTCATTACCACACAACCTAAAAATGCAACATGAATTAACCAAAGATGTAATATTAATGCTAAAAATATCATGGGGATAAAAGAATATAAGTTACAAATATAGAAGAAAATAAGAAAGAAGAGTTGAAGTGAATTCCTAAGTAGAAAGAATTATATCAAAGAAGACTTTCAAACTTGCTCGAATCTAGTTGTAGAAATCGAGACCTTCTACCTGAAGAACAAATACAACCATTACTTAAAATTTTTGGCCGGTTTTGAAGATCCAATTTTTCCTCAGTCGTGTCAAAGAAGTGCTGGAATTTTCTCTTATACGAATATGAATAAAATTAAAGTCTCAAAATCCTATTAGGAGTATCGTAGGATCTTCCATAGATATAATGTTAAAGATAATTTGCACAAGAAATTATTAGAAATCAAATAATGATGAGTTTGAGCGCGCTAACATATCTTAGATTAGGCATCAATTTAATCTAAAATTTTAAATTTTAGGTTGTGACTCACAATCACAAACTTAAAACTTTTAGGTGCAGGTCATACCCAATATATATAATATTATTCTTTTTTATCATTAACTATGTGAGAGTTTTTTATTAGTCAATATCTTTGACTATCAAAAGCATGGTTGTACCACAAGGTAGTTCACTCATCTGTGTTTGTCCGATGCGGTATGACTCATTTTCAGTCAATCAATCTTAATTTGATCTTGGCTACCAAGTATACGTTGGTTCAATTAGATCAACTTTTGTTAATGTAGCTCAAATACCATGTTAAAAATCAAATAATGATGAGTTTGAGTTAAAATGCTCAGGATTAATAAATATCAAATGAGACATTAATTCAATCCAAAAATTTAAATTTTTAGATTATGGGTCATACACTATATATAACACGACTTTTGAAATTCTGTGTGATATGGGATTGTTTTCTTAATACATCTCTTTTTATCTCACATACATAAATATTTCTAACAAAAAATAAACTATCAATAATATTAGGATCTTCAATTTCATATAATGGATTGATAATGATGTTCAATTATAAATTTACGTTCACCACACATTCTAATGTCAATTGCTGATCTCACTGATTTCTCATTAAATGACGATCTCACCTATCTGACAGTGGCAAGATGCTCCTCATTTGTCATGATCTTAAAACATTATGAAGAGCCTATTATATTGTTTTTCATCATCTTCTTTAATATTAGTATTTTGAATCCTTTACCTAAACTGTTCCTTGGTAAGAAGATGAGGTAAAAGATGTGAACCCATCTAACTGGTTAATCGCAAAACTAAAGTTATTCAAATTCTGACCAATAACATGAATAACTTCCTAATGAGTTATCTATTATCAAATGCTGATGAAGGAACACATCAATTTCTTTTGGATTGTAACAAGTGCAATGCCTTAATGTTACTAGGGTCTATGCGGCACTTTAAGATAAGAATGTAAGTCAATAAGAAAAACTGAAAATAGTTTCATATATATAATGGAGAATTTCAATAATCCTAAATGAAAATTAAGTAGATCAATGGAACATCAGAGAATTCAACCTAACATTAGATTCTAAACATTTATTGAATCATATGATTTAAGAGGAAAAAAAGCTGTGATTATATAGGTTTGTGTGCGCTTGGGACTTGTAAGAGTGATACTATATATAATAGAAGGAATATTAGTTAAACCATTGACCACGTAAATGGTTTCTTATGCAAGCAACTTACTCTCTTGGGTTTCTTATGTAGTCTTGAGTGTGGCACCCAAGTCAGTCACAAGGTGAAGGCCAACAGGATAGCTTCAGTCCTTATAACCAAGAAACTAATTATGCTTTAGTTTCAACATAGTGTACCGCGGACCCATATCTTCTAAAGTGCACTAATGGCATTAATTATCAGACAAATTAGAATCCCATAAAAGTATTGGGAAATGATAAAAGAAAAAGTCTATTTAATTTGTGTATCCCACGAATAATCTTCGGGGTTTAGAAAACTTTGGTACCACCAGAACTATGACCACCAGTATCCCATAAAAGTTAGATTGCTTGTACAAAAACAATCTAACTTATCCAGTCGCTTTTTCTTATTCTTCTACCTGTGCTTCCAATTTTTGTTGATCTAACACTTAGGATACACTGACAACATAAGCAGGTCATAGATCGTCCCATTTATAATAGCATAATCCTTTCACCTAATTCAGAAATAATGGTTGCTCGGACTTTAAGAATTTTCTTCACATGCATGACGACATGTGACACGATATCTGTATGATCATGGCGAGCGATATAGGTTATACATAAAAAAAAGAAAAAAAATCTGGAGATCAGACTTATGAGGATATTGTAGAAAGAAAAAGGCTGAAGATTTTAGGAGAAGATGTACAACATCACTGACCATGAATATAATGGGAAAGATGAGGATCTACTTAAAAGAAATTTGCTATCGATTTAAGCAAGAAATCCGATAGCATCAGGTAGCAAGGATGCAGAACTAAAAGCTAATAGCTAAGGTCTTTTAAATCAAGGTTATGCTTAATCATCAAAGAGAGGATGTAATCCAAGTACAGGATCAGTGGAGCAAAACATTGAGTAGAAGATTGACAAAGGAACAAAGAATTTAAATGAAAGAACAAACTTGGAAGATGTCGGAACAAATTAACATAAGCGCAATAGTTAATGTTTCAAACTCAACACGATGAGAACATTGAGAGTATCGCACGGAAGACTAAATCCACATCATGAAAAGAATGAAACCGAAAGCTGAGAATGATGTCCATATTTCATGGTTGACTGACCTAGGAAATGATCGGCGGAAAGTATACAGAAACCCAAAAAAGAAGTCGTAGATCTACTACAAGCTACTAGCTATTTGAGATCTCAAGAAAACAGATGGAATCCACGAAAGCACTAAGGAACCCGTTTGCGTGCCCTAAAATTTGATGGCTTGCAACTGTACTTCTTATAGCATTAAACGTGCATTCCCGATGTACGATAGTGATGGACCCCTTCCTCAATATGACCCGGGAGACAGCAGCTGCTTTTAGCTAAGAGATAAAGTTTGTTAGACTGGGAGGTGCATTACACCCCAAATCGGAGAAGTCAGATCTTAACCGTCCAAAACAATGATCGATCTCCCGTACGCTTCTACCCAGTCCGCAACGCAGTTCACGAGGCGGAAACCCTAATCTCTTCTTGGAAGAAAATAAATACATAAAGCAAGACAAGGAACAGGTCGATATGAGAATGGGTCACTCAAACTTCATCGAAGAGGTGAACCAAAAACACAAGCAGAATTCAGATCACAGTCCATTTATATTTGGCTTAGAGACGACTAGGGTTTGGAGTAGAGCATCAACGAGAAGAAGTGGAAGGAAACGAAGAGATGAGGAAAGCAAACCTGGAATCGGTGGAGTACTCATAGAGCTTGCCCTTGGTCGAGAAGATGATGAGGGCGACCTCGGCGTCGCAGAGGACGGAGATCTCGTGGGCCTTCTTGAGCAGACCAGACCGGCGCTTGGAGAAGGTCACTTGCCGATTGATCTTGTTCTCGATCCGCTTCAGCTGCACCCTCCCCCTCCCCATCTCGATCCTCCACCTCCTCCCTCCTCCTCTCCCTTCCTCAAACTCTAACCTCGGTTGCTCGGTCGGTCGGTCGTCGGTGAGAAAAACACAGCAGCAGAAGCGAGAGAGAGAGAGAGAGAGAGAGAGAGATGGGGTTGGGTTGGGGGTTGGGCGGGGGGGAGGGGGGGGGTTGGAGACGGGCAAGGGTGGTTTTATAGAAACCAGGGCGGTAAGGGGTGAACACGCTGTCGAGCGATGATTGGTTGAGGAGTCGTTAAGGGGCGTGCGGATGTGTGTGTTTGCAGCGACAGACAGTAACACCCGCTTACATCGTACGGATCGAAGTCGGACTTTTTGGTTTGAATGAAACGCATACATAATAATAGTAGAATTCCAATAAAAATAATGATGCCATCGCACCCCCCACTCTTTCTCTTCCAAATTAAAAAAATATTTTATATATAATTTAAATTTAATATATATATATATATATATATATATATATATATATATATATATGATAAGCTTAAATTAATTTGATAAATAATCGATTATAAAATATTAAAGAACACGATATGGTAAAGATCCTAATTCGAGTCCTCTCAAAATAATAATCTAACTAAGAGAGATCACATCATGTGAGCAGAAGGTACCTTTGTGCAACGTGTTATTGTTTCTTCCAAGAGTTAATTGATGTGATTTCATTGAAAACTCGAGCTGGCCATTAACTAAAAGTGGATTCACGACTATTGACGGTTGATCTTGAAGAGGAGCCCGCCTAGGGTAGGTGGGCGACGTCATGGAGTTATCACGTGTGTCGGAGATTTTCTTTACAGAGCGATGTGGATGGATACCTAATGAATATTGTGGAGATGGAGAAGCACAAGTCTTCTTCTCTCTTTTCTTCTCTGGGGAGGGGGGACTTGTTTTGTTAGACGAGTAGACGATCATTCAAATAGTCAATTAGTGTGAATGGCCACATAGTTGTACCACTTTGAAAATAGATAAAAAAAGTTGATGACTTTGGTACATATAATTTATTATTATTCAGTCGATATGAGACTAAACATGATATCGATTATTATTCAACATTAATTTTCTTTTTCTCTCTAAAACATAAGAGATTCAATAGTAAGCCATAAATATTACAATAATCATAAGAAGGAATCATGGAGACTACTTCGGAAGTGATCTTTCATGGGTATAGTTGGACTCCATTGTGCCCTCTTATTCTATAAATCTATCATTTACAAAAGAGTCATGTTAAAGACTTATTGGCAATTATTCATTTCCTTGTGAACAATTAATATCCTTTTATGTGTGTGTGTTAAAGAATCTATTGGTTCTTGACAAAAGACCCATCACAACTTCACAACATAGCAATTATAAACATCATACAATAACTTTGCAATACATCAGAAATGTTTTGCCAACCATTTTAAAGCCTCTCATCACATATGATAATTCAGTTGCCTACTTAAATTGGCCGATTAATTGTCGAATGATTACTCCATTGATTATTTACTAAATTAATTACCACATTAGCTTTTTCTCTCAGCTTTTGCTTTAGTGTGTATTTGATTCCTCTAAATCAATTGGAAGTGTTCTAAAAAGTTAAGATGGAAAAGGAGATAAGCTTTTTCAATATGATTAAACATGGTTCCATTAAGATAAGTAATAGTGGATAGTGTTGGCTAACTATGAGCTACAGTAAGATTCTCCACCTATCACATGAACCAATGTATTCCTGTTGGGAATATGAAGGACCAAAAGGACAATGATTTAACGTTTGAGATTAAAGCAAGAGAAGAACTGAATGCCTTCAAGCCAAGATAAGGAGAAAGTTAGGATTTGATTAGAATGAGATGGAATAGGCTGATTCATAATCTTGTCATGATTCTTATTGTTAACATCATTACATATTTGCAAGCATAAAAAAGTTTTAGTAGACCAGAAAATGTGACTACTGTCTATTAATTGTTATAATTTGTAAGAAAACTCAAAGTTTCTCCATGCAGTCATTTCATTTTTTTTCTTTGTTAATCGATAAATGATGGAAACGAAATGTTATTAGTCAAAGTAATCGATAAGTGGGTTCAATGTATTATCATCGGACTAATATCTTATGTAGAACAATATATCGAATGAGGGTTTGAATCCTCAATTTTTAGTAAATGAGTCGATTTGAGACACTATCATTAAACTAATATTCTATGTATAAAAATTTATTATTTATTATCATTAAATTATTATTTCAAGTGTAAATATATTCGATGAAGTTTCAAATCGTCAACCTTTGGTCAGTCGATTGCGTTCACCGTTACGAATCTAATATTTTAGATATAAAGAATATGATGGATGAGGATTTGAACTCTTGATTAATGTTTTATAATTAATTATTTAATACTTGATTTTTTTATGACTATTGGTTTTTTTTTTTCATAATTAAAATTTCTCAAAACAATGTGAAGGAAACCAATGCAAGGAAGGGTTCAGTACCCTAAAATTCAGTGTTGTTACTTTGGAATAATATTGAGAACTGCAACATTATTGTATCAAAGGTGCAAATTATTGGCCCAAATGTACACATCAAACTAGGCATCATTCACACGTATGATTCTTTGACCCCTAAACAGTGGGAAGTAGGACATGTCCACTGCATGGGTACCCAATTTTGCCTGTTATCAGTGTGTGTGTGATGCAGGAAGAGCACAAAGAACTATTTGCTGGCTTCTTGAGATTAAGACATGAGGATGGAGGCTTCTTTCACTCTCCACCACTCAGCACTGTCTTAATAGGAATTGAGGTTTGTTTACCCTTTACATGTATGGGGCCTCATCTCTACCAAAACTGGATGGAAGAATGAATAGGACTGCCAACCCTCTCTTCTCACAGAGAGAGAGAGAGAGATGCTGAGATTAAAGAGTCAAAAGAAGCTGCAATCGAATCATGTTCTCAGGTCTGTGGACTTCTTGTTGACGAAGAGGGTTTTGGTGTGGAATAAGGTTGCACTTTACTGCACCAAGGAATAAGTTCACTGGATGCACAAGATGAAGTTGCAGCCATGGAGAAAGCTTCTTGATATATAATATATAGAGCTTGAAGATTCCTTTTTGGAAGAGGTTTCTCTTTTCTGTCGAATATTCCTCATATCATTACGGCTATATAGTTGATAGGACTAAAATCGGATAATATCTATGGATATATCATTGATATGATAAATACTGTCAACTTTTGTCAGAACTTAACATCAGAAAATGATAAAACAAGTGACTGAAGTTTGTCCTGTCAGATCCCAACAGAATATATTGTCATGATTGAATACTATTTCCTTAATGATAAGCAGTCTTTGAACAATAAAAAAAAGAGAGACATAAAAGGATTCTCTCTCTCAATATTTTATTTTCAATTAGTTGTATTCAAAATATTCTCGTAGAATATTTACTAATATTTAATATTAAAGAGATCTCATCGGACATACCTCAAACATAATTTTTTATAGACCGATTTGATATCGAACCCCACCTTAAATCCTAAGTGACATTTGTATAAAAATCGAAAGGTCGAATAAATTCTATTATATCGATTTGATCATCAAACTTGACACTTACGATACGTCGATTTTACGGACCTTAATCATTCGTTTTCAGATTCGAAAGCTGTATAAAAGGTGAATCATATGCTGGAGATGAATCAAACACTGATGAGCAGAAGGGAATTGTTAGGTTAATTTGATGGGAACTATGTATGTGCTGCCATAGCCAACCAATGCACATAAAAGAATCCAACCTGACACTGCAAACCCCAACACTGCATGCAAAACACAGAGAGTGATGCCTTTTGCTTTTTTGACAAGACAAAGATTAGTGAGGTGCTGTCACAAGGCAAATTCATAATGACACATCAATCTCAGATAAGATAAACCTATATGCCATTGCAAAGGACTGATGCCATGCATGTTGTGTGGTCCTTGTAGGTTTGATTACCTCAAAAGCCACAACAGCCTCTTTGTTGAACTGTCAGCATGATGTTCTTGAGAAGCCTACCTTCTTGCCTTGAATTGAAAGGCCATGATGGATTCACAACTTGGCATGCGATTGCCATGATGATTGAGTTCCTCTTGGCCTCTCAAACAGTTTGGCATGCAAAATATAATTGAGATTGTAAAAACCACAGAGGTATTCTCTCTCTCTCTCTCTCTCTCTCTCTCTCTCTCTCTATAAATAAATAAATAAATAAATAATATATATATATATATATATATATATATATTCTTAAAAAAAGGACTTAAATATATACATTTTATTATCCATGTTGAGTCAACCTAAGCTGAATGAACATTAACAGAAGATATATATGTGAGAGACCAAAGAGATAGTCTATACATTTTTTTTGGTATGATTGAATTATGTTTAATAAACTACCCAAGTCAAATCAAGAGTATTATTCTATTTATATCATTTTAATATTTTTTAGATCATAATATACCTCTATTTCTACCATTTAACATGTCCATGACATAATAGATTATTCATCCTTATTTTATTTGTTATTGTAATAATATATGATTATTCATGAATAAAAAAAAGTATATTAACATATATTTGGTGCATTTTTCTCAACGATTTTATATTATACTATACAAGCTATTTTTTGATGTAGATCAACAACATGCTGGACTAAAATTTCTAAGGACATATATGATATTTCCACATTTGAAGGATATGTATAAAAAAAACTCAAATATATGATTCTATGAATATTAGAGATGTTTTAGGTATTTAAATATTTTTAACTTGAATTAACTAATATAAATGAATATTGCTTTTGTAACCCCTTATTATTATTTACAACCTCGTTTTAAAATTTTTTCATGTTTCTACATTTTATATTCACAAATGAATGTAAATATCATATTCTTCTTTCTTGAATGATGGCATTGAGGGGGCGGCAAATATTATCGGTGGTGATGGCATCGATAGTTAGTATCGTCCAACAAGTGACATCGATAGCAAGTGACGATGGTTTTAATACAGAGCAAGATTTAATAAGAGGTTATGGGAAAGAAAAAAAATGTTATATTTTTTAAAGAATGATCAATAACGAGAGATTGTGAATAATAAATAAAGAATTGTGAATAGGAAGCTACATATAAACTACAACTAGCCACGATTAATTTGAATTTTCCAAATGAGTGTAAATAGGAGTTAGGATATGTATGAACGAGCTTAATTTTTTATATGTATATGCCATATTAAAATGTATAAAAACAAATGTGATATATATATATATATATATATATATATATATATATATATATCCCAAAAAATTCAATTGATTTTAGATGACTCTTGGAATTATGGGTTCCCTCTATGAGCAGCCCATTCTTGTCACAAAGCCCATATAATTTTGGGCGGGAAAATACGATCTTAAAGCCAACACGCGCGTAAGCACAAATCAACGAGTCAGAGCAAAGGCAAAGCTAGGAACTTTTCGCGTCCGCAACGACCACCTCCGCAAGGCCTCTCACGTACCGTGGTGGGACCCATAGATGGAACGTCAGGTCTGTGAGCCGAGAGAGCGTAGCCCGTTACGGGGTAGCTTTTTTCTGGGACGTAAACTCCGGAGATGCTTCTCTCTCCGACTTTAGTTGTGACTCAAGTTGCGAATCGACATCTCTAGAATATGTTTCATGTTTCCCACCCAATTGATGGATTAGTGCAAAAGAGGATCGCCGCCTCCGGCGTCGTTGTTTGAGTAGATTTGCGCTGCTGCAACCCTCTCCCCGATCCGTGGATGGAGGACGGAAACTCTCGCGGTGGTGATCGGGACGACCTCGAAATCACCTCCATCGGCGCCCTCTACCGTGGACCGTGGGACAAGAAGTACTGGAGCGCCTCTAGGGTTCGATCTCTCTTTCCCTCTCGCACTCAAAAGTCTCGAACACTGTAGGTTATTTAGATTCCTTTGTGCTGGGCTGTGATCCTGCGCGCGTGATGTCCCAAAACTCTGTGGCAGAGCAGCTATACGAGTGGCTAATCGAAGACTCGTCCCTGCATTTGGTGGCAATTTTTTTCTAAGGAAAAAAAAGAGACCGTTATGCTATCAAGACTTGATTTCTCGAGTTTAATTAGGTGAGAATCTTGGGTGCTGCGAAGGTTATCGCCCATTAGATCGAGTTGTGGAAGTCCTCATGATTGACCAACAAAGAGGTAAAAGAATCAAGAAATCTAAGTTGATTTGGGCCATGCAATGTAGAATGTAGCAGAGAGTGCATACTGTGAAAATTGGAAGTCAGAAAATATTGTTATGAGCATGCATTCCACACAAGATGTTTGCTATGGTTGGATTTGAATTGATGCATGCCAACTTCTGATTGAGATACTTGTCCTTTCCATAAATCTTAGATGCTCTTCACTGCAAGTTGAACCCAGAGTACATATGTTTAAAAGATGAATCCCTGAAATAGTATCTATTAGTAGAGTTCTCATGCAACTCGTGATAGATAAGTAAGATTTTCATGAGATATATGATCGTTTATGGGTGTATGTAGCTGTATTATGCCAGGCTGAGTTAATTCTAATTGTCTTGTCTGGTGCTACTAATGCTGTTCTTAATAGAGTTTATGTGGTAACATCGCAATGGAAGTAAATTTTGTAGCCAATTTTTGTGTGATATTGTCTGCTTTCTGCAGTTATGTAGTTAGCTGAATTAATGCATCCTTTTGCTTTTAGTATATGTGGTTTACCTGGGATTGATATCGTGCTTACATATTTGTGATTGTTGTTAATATTGACAGGGTAAAGATAGATATCCTTACCCAGTTGGATATCATGCTGTCCGAACTCATGGTGGAAACATGTACCGGATGGAAATTCATGAAGGTGTTAAAGGCCCTCTATTTGTGGTCTGTTACAAGTCCCCTTCCTTGCCCACACTTTCTAGTCTGTTCATTTAAGTGTGCCTCTCCCTTGTTTGCCTATTGTCAATGCCAACTGTATTTGTGGTTGTTCAATTCTGGATCAGCTTCAAGGTGATAACTACATAGAATCTGCAGGTCACATCAACTGATGGAGACTCAACTGGGCATACACCCGATATTGCATGGGAAAATTTGCAAAAGAAGAATGGTCCCAGGGTGAAAAACCGGAATGGAAAGAGGTTTTCTTCTAAGATTGATGGGGTTGAGGTATGTTTCTACACACCTGATTTTCATAGTAGGTGAGCAAACTTTTGTTTCCTTGTAAATGATCTGCATGATATGTAGATTTATGGGGATTAATTTGTTTGACTCTAACCATGCTGAGATAAGTACCCTCTGTTAGTAGTCCTGCTGCCCTTGTATCTCAAGGTCAGAGCTTGTCAAATTATACCTTTCCCCCATACAAAAAGTTTATTGGTTGTTGGTTTCATCTTATCAACCAACTGGGTTTTTGTTGAAGTATGAGTTTTGAAGAATTTGTCATTCTTAACACAATTGATTTACATACATCACTTATTAGCATATGATTTTGGAGCTCAAATTCTTGTTGAACTTCTATTATATTTGTAACACTACTGCAGTGTGTCTCACATCCGAAGATGATGATTTGGTATGATATGATTGCCTACCACTGGCATAGTGAAGAGAAAATTCATTTTCTGCTAAACTTTGTTTTTATTTTTGAAACCGAATTGGAATCCACCTTTCTATTAATGAAGCTATACATGCCCTGAAAGTTATTGAGTACCACTGGAATTTGTGAACTAATTCAGTTGTAGTGTTTGCAAACTAATTCAATTCTCTTTTTAAGGCCTGTGGGAAACTTGACATTTGTCTAATCCAACCGTTCATTTTATTCCCACTTCTATGTCATTTTTTAAATTTCTAGCAGTGTTCGTTTGACTTTTTTTCTGTAAACTGCTTCACATCACCAGCAAAGGAGTGTACCTGGAGTCTAAATTATTAAATCTTTCACCATATGAACTTTCATACACCATAAAGTACTATATTCACGGAACTAGAACAAACACTTGCATCTTTCTTTTGCTTAATGTGTTTTTTCCTTTTTATGGCATAATACAGCTTTTTGGATTCAGAAATCCATTTGTTCAGCGACTGCTTCGTGAGCTTTTGGCCAATGTATATGGAGTTACAGAACCAGATTATTTATCCCCTCCAGTTGGCAATGAAGCTCTTAGATTGGATGATAAGATGCACATTCAGGACTCTCTTAATTGTAGTGATATGCTTGTATACTCAAGAAAACGTCAGACTGCAAGAAAAAGGTGTACAATGAACAAAAATTGTAGTAGAATCAATAGCAATGCAGTCAGAGCTAAAAGGATTCGATGCCAACATGCACCAAGTGATTCTGGAGCTGGAAATCCAGAACAACTTAATGAGATTTGCTCTCATGCTGAAATTAGAAAGAGAAAGTTTGTCAAAGAAAACAATATGTCCTCATCAAGACTTCAGACTTCTCAGCTTCAGGTATCTCAAAGTCATCTTAGTTACTCAACAAACTGTAACACTTTTGCTTTAAGGAATGAGACTTGCTGTCAAGCTAGTACAGATTGTAGATGTGACAGTAAAAATAAGAATAGAGATGGAGGAGATCTGGACATTTTGTTAGGGCAAGCATCTGCTGTTGGGGGAAATTGTCATTTCTTGCTTGCTAGAGATGAGCTTCTGCAGGAAATGGAAGATCCTGATAATTCTATTGAAAAACATGTTATATTTGTCAGGGAGACCAAATTTACAAGTCGAGATCAATTTACAAGTCGAGATCCTCATCTGACTTACGTGGACAATATTTGTGATGCTGACAATAACGTGGTAACATACTATTAGATCGTGAAGTCACTAATTTGTCATGCTTCTTGTTGTGCTTATGAATTTTGAAGTTTTTCATTTTCAGTTTTTATTAACTTTTGCAAATGTATCTGTTAGTACTTTTGTATATGAAAAGTGTTGCACAAGTGATATGGTAATAAACTGAACCACAAATAATCACTTGTTTTGGTGATCAGGATAGATATTATTTGCCCATTGTTGACCAACTTTCGATTTACTTGAGATGATTGGTGGGAACGAAAAGGCATTGAAGAACAAATTATTGATTTCTATTAATAGGCTTGTTAAAGACCCAAATTATAGAGTATTTAGCACAGCTGCTCTGGGAATATTGTTTTTACATGTTGCATTGAAAATTCTCCTTTTGTTATAGATTGTAATACATATATGGCCACTTGTTGTAGTTTAAGATAATTTATATTTGTTTTGCATGAAATTCTTAAGTATAAGACAGTTGTGAAACCAATAATGTTTTATGGATCCGAGTGTTGGACAGCTAAGAAACAATATATACAAAAAGTTTATGTTGTCGAGACAATAATATTGAGATGTATGTGTGGAGTTACTAGGAAAGATAGACAAAGAAATATTTTTATTCGTAAACAATTAGATATTGCTTCGATAGAGGAGAAGATAAGAAAAAATCGTTTGAGATGATATGAGCATGTGTTTAGGAGGCATTCGGATGCAATGGTCAAAAGAAGTGAAATGATTAATGTTAGTAGTATGAGGAGAAGTAAAGGAAAACCTAAAAAATACTTTAATAGAAATTATAAATAAAGATTTAAATATCCTAAACTCAACTAAACATATAACTTTTTAAAGATTTTAATGGTAGCAAAAGATTCATGTAATTGATCTCAAATAGTTGGGATTTACGGTTTTGTTGTTGTTGTTGGAATTCTTAAGTTAACAGATTTCCTTATTAAAATATTTATATACAATGAAGCAATAGATGAGATTTTTTCTTTCCTTAAAAGTTCTAATCCCTTGTTCATTAGCATTATGGACACATTAGATATCAGATGTTGACTTTTAGGAACTTTAGTCCATTGTCATTACTATGCGTATCCTTGACTTCGCGACGGAGCTCAATTTCTTGGATGAACTGATACAGAAAACTTTATTGGAATCTTGGTTGTTATTCTATTCTGGTATGAAAATACAACTTGTTTTGGCTATTGGCAGACTGCAGGATTGACTTATCAAGCTTGAAAACTCATCTCTTTGCTCTACAATCATTATGCTGCTTGTCAGTCCATGCTGAATTTGGTGGCTCAAAATGCAAATCCTTATAAGCATTCCTGAACTTCTATCTGAACTTTTGTTTGTTGGTGGATGTTGAATTTGCTGTCTTAGGTGTGGATATTGGTCAATGGCTTTTGAAGTCTAGATTAATCTATTGATATCTAGACGTGCATGCATAGCACATTCGATATCAGTTTTGAAATTCATCTCTACATAAAATGAATATAAGTTAGTTAATTTTTCCAATTGTCATTAGTATTTAACAACTACTACACAAGTTTGTATATACATGTATTCATTTATGTATTTATGTGTGCATAAATTAAAATATATAGTCATAAAGGCATATATAAACTTCTTGGTTATCAGGATTAAAATTTTCTAATACCTCAACTGAAGGGAAAAATGTTAATTATTTTACTTTTTTTTTTTTATTCATGTAGCGTCATAGATAGAATATGTAGTCACATACTTTCTTTTTATCCTTTTATGGATCCAGCAAGCGATGGTCCTTTGGAAGCTTACATATAATGAATTATTTTATCAAATATGATTTTATGTCTTTAATGGTTGCTTCATAATTTATTGACATTTTGTATACAATAGTATCCTTTACTTTTATCTAGTGCTGCCTGTGGATCTTAAACCTATGTATTCTTGTTATATACAGAATGTATCTTCCATCGTTCATTGACCTGAACAGAAAATTCTTACAGCTTGATATATCATCAAATGGTAGACTGAGGCAATTGGAACTTCCATCAGAAAAAGTAGTCTCATCATCAGATGATGCTACTTTAAAAGAACTTATTAAAGATTCACTTCCAGAAGCTGTCTCATCATCAGGTTCCTCAAATCCTAGTTTGAACTTAGCAGACCAGGAACTGGCAAAGTCTATGATGACTTTTCTGCTTCCTCGAGCCGTTCCCCTTCTTGAGAAGACTTGTGTGAAAGGGAAGACACGTTGTCGGAGTCAGGAAGTAAAGGTTGATCAAGATAAAGTAGGAAGTGAGCACTTCAATGGCAACATGCTTCAAGGTATTCATACTTAATTAGATGGGTCAATAATATTTTGCTTTGTTCAGTGTTGAGAAAGCATTTCTCTGTAATACTATCTCCCAATTGACAGAAAAAAGTTGTTTTCTGTTACACTCTGGTTCTTATTTTTCAGGAGAGTTTGAAGCTGGCATGCTTTTGAGTGATACAGAAGAAAATTTTACCGAGAGATTGAGCGACCCAATATTGGTGTCAGGTGTTAATTGTCAATACCAGATGAAAAAAATGGAACAATTTGATAGAAGAATATATTTGGATGATGCAGAGCATATGATTCCAGATAGCTTTGAGAATGATTGCACTGTCCATATAAAGAAACATTCAACTATGGCTTATGGAATTGACTGTACAGCTTCTGATATAACCAGAGAAACAATGATCACTGCAAAACCTGTTATTGCTGAAGCAGAGAAGGTACAAGTCCCTTCTGATTCTGATAAAGTAGTTATGATGCCTAAGGAAACTGAGAAGGGTGAGTACTTGTTAACTGATTCTCTTGAACACTGTTTGGAAGAAGCACTCAATGATGATCTCTTTGTCCGGAAAGAAAATGTTTCAGATGCTTCCTGCAGTTTAGGTGCTTGTGTTGATCATGAGTTGCAATACTTGAATCCTCTAAATACTGGAAATGGAGAAGATGTCCTAGAAGAAATGGTCATACCTGAAAAAGGGCCTCATTATAGTAGTTTTGGAAAAGGTAAAATTGACTGTCTTGAGCAATGTCCTTCTGCTGTAAATTCTAATTCTAACTTGGGGGAGAGAAGAACTTCCATGGTAGTTATAAAAGAATCTTCTCACATCAATGAGATCCCAAACAAAGAACTCCAAAGTTCATCCTCGGATAAGCCGGTTGAATCTAAAATTCACAATATTACTGACCACAAAGATTGTAAGCTTAGGGACCAAATAAGTGCTGTTCATACATTTCCATTAGGTAACAGTGAGTCAGTGGCTAACTTGAAGGGAGATTCTGCTTCTTTCTTTCATATGCCAAACATAATACTTTCAACTGAAGGGCAGCAACCTTCCAGTTTCAATATAGGGAAGCTTTTGAATCCATCTCATTTTTCTGGCAATTGCAATGTTCTTTCAGAAAGTATAATATGCAGAAATTATATGGATGATGATGCCACTGAGACATACTTGACTCCAAGGATATCAGAAATGGCAGAAAGTACAAAAACCAGGATGATAAGTAGTAAATCAAATTTGAGGCTGGTTTCTCAAGCCCATGATTTGGATACGTATGTCAATGCCAACATAAAAAGCTCTAAAGTTGGTGATCCTTCTACATTATGTGCTGAGAGGACCGCAGATTTTATGAATAAGCTTCAGTCATCCACCCATCTTTGGCTACCACCATATCAGGAGTGCGTAAAAGATGTGCATAATGAAAGCAGAGTTGTTCTTGAAGATTTAACTTTTTCAGTTAAAAATCCAACCATGAGGGTGACTGTAGATGAAGAAAGTAATAATTTTTTTGATAAACAACACAAGCAGAATGGTCAGCTGGATGGTTGTTCATTTGAATCAAATCAAGAGTTGGGTGGACCTTTTGAGCTTGCAGGCTGTTATATGCACCCAGAACCAGTCCTGTCTATATTCTTAAGCTCAAAGGAAAATACTTTACAAATTTCTGTGACTTGTGGCCTTCAAGAAAGCAATGAAAGAAACCTTTTCATATACACAATTTCTCTTAAAGATCAGGGAGGAAACTGCCCATCTTTTATTGGGTATACACCCCTGCTGCTGCCTCTCCTTACAGGACCTTCAATTCAAAGGGTAAATTATCCATCAGAAGACGATGTGCTTGTGTAACATTCCTTCAGTGAAATTGACTTTAATTTGTGTCTTCTTCTTGTAGACAGCATTTGATACATCTGGGTTACAGTTCACGCCTGACAGCCAGTCCCTTGTTTTTCTTAGTAGTATCAAAGTACCTCTTTGCAGGTTGTAAAAGTCACCTGCATTTGATAGTTATGTCTATCGGATGATGAATCTTGATTGCATAATCATTCTAATCAATCCTGAATATGTGCAGTGAACGAAATATCAACTGCTCATGCCCAACATGCGAATCTGATTGTCATGAAGAAAATGCTGTACGAGTTGGACAAGTAAACTTTGGGTATGTCTTACCATTGGCCAAATTGATGACAACAGAGAGAGTGTCCTGCATTTTAGTTTGTGAACCTAATTATCTAATAGCTGCTGAAGCGAGTGGGACATTGCATGTCTGGCTGATGAACTGCAAGTGGAGGTATACATTCTTTAATGATAATTTTTTAAAATATTCCCTCCATTTGTCTTTTTAGAATACGTGAGTATAGTTCCAACATGCTGATTTTTTGGAAATGCTTAAGTATGTTTTCATGACTCATATTAGTCACTGATCACCATATTTGAAGATTTGGTTAACATATCTAATTCTTCTTTCCTTATTCTTTGTTTTCTGGGTGGGTTATGTCCATGTGTGCATGTCTTTTTTATTGTTTATGTAGGTGAAGCAGGGTGTTAGTTCATGGTGGTCGTAAAGATTCCAGTTACCTCTAGCCTTTTGCCCTCTCTTCCTTTGCATCCGTTCCCCATGTATGTTCATTTATGGTTTTATGGTCAAAATCTGTACTCTTTAATAAGCTTTCCTGTCTGAGCATCACAGGATGTGGGAAATAGGAAGAAGGTTTAAATTTGGTTTTCTAGTCAAAAGTGAAGGTAGGAATTAGGAAACTTAGTTCCAAATTCTCTCTCACCGTATTAAGAGACATGGAGAAACATAGGATGGCCAAGAATTAAACCTATTAGCAGTAACACTATAAGAAGCACTAGCATTCTAAAATTCATTTAACAAAATTCAAGTTCAATTTCATTTGAATTCTTAGAGCCTTGAGAACCTTCCAAGAGATTACCATAGGCTTTTTTCATTCTTCCTTTGTCATTATGAAACTCTTAATGGAATTAAGAAGTATTAATATTGTAAGCAATTTCCTGGGCATTTCGGAAACTGTTTTGAATGTTCCTCCAGCCACAGAATCAAGAATGCTCAGAAGAATGATAAATGGATCAAAGTTTGCATTCTTCTGTGATGAGAATCTTATAGACCACAGTGCAGACATTAATGAGTCTACAGTTTGTGACACGCTAGGATTATCTCTTTTGGGAGCAAGACGAGTCTTAGTTCTGTTCCATTCAGCATTCAATGCATAGATGACCCTGTACCTCTTGGCCGTAATGTCTTCCCTTAAATGTCCCAATAATTCTATAAACTCAACACTAAAGTCATCAGGGCATGGATCGTTTCCAAATTGGTCCAGGAGATCAGAAGTATTATCTCCAAGCATGGTCCTTGTGTTGTGTTTTCTGGTTTATAAGATTCACCATAAAATGGCTATTATTCTTCTACAATTAGTTCTCAACTTGACATCAACAATCCATGATTTATGCTGAATCCTAACCAAAGAAACATTGAGCAAGCTTGGTGTGATGATCAAGGAAAAGTGATAGTCTTGAACTTACAGAGGGAGAACCACTTGTTCATCAAGCAGATGACTGACTATAGTCCCTGTTTTGTGGATATGCGTATCCTAACATACCAAGATTACTCACCTAAAGCTTATCTAGGTAATTTAAAAAGAAAATTCTATTCAGTACAGAAACTCATTTGATGTTAGATTAGTTACTATTTAATACTACCTTTCAATTTAATTATCATTCTTTTAACCTTAGATATTTTTGGCTTGTTAGTTCTTGACTCTTACATATACAGATCTTGTACACAAAGTCAGTTATTTTGCATTGCAAATTAACATTTTCCTGTAGAATGTGCAAATTTCTCAGTTGATAAACTAGTAATTTGATATAAACTACTTCTTGTTATTGTTTTGTGATATGTGATCATCATATTGTCATTGATTTACCTGCAGTGGAGCTTTTGAGGAGTTTGTGCTACCTAGTTTTGATCACTTAACACCAGCAATAGAGCTGAAAATGGTAGCAAAGAGTGACTCCATTATTGTTGGTCATAATGGCACTGGTGGATTTGGCTTATGGTAGGTTCCGTAACTTGCATCACGATGTCACATGTTAAAAGTTTTTAATTTCTTGAACTATGTCAGTCTTGTCAGTAATTATGGCTTTCTTCTATGCCTAGTTTTCAACTATAGTTGTTTCTGATGATAGATCTTTTAGTATTGTGGGCTTGTGAGTATTTTTGTGCTGGGTATTTTATATGTCTAATTGGTCAATCATGACATTCCCTTCATTTGTTTATAGGAGTTGCTGTGCTAACTTGATTTGTATCTTGTTGCTCTACAACTTTATTGTCTCTTTTTTGCTGCTAGTTTTGTCAAAGAAGTCCTTTTTTTGCCAAAGTTTGATCTGTAACTCGATTTGCCTAATATTACGGTTGAATATCTGGTTTCCTCCAGGGACGTCTCAAAGCGTGCTCTCCTGGCTATGTTTTCATCCCCAGGCAATTTGATATTTCAGATGCTTCCAATTGGTATCTTCGGCTTTAAAGACGAGACAATTTTTTCAGCTGCTCAGGAGATGGAGCACATGCAAGAGATACTGAAGGCAAATGATTGGGTTACCGAACATGCTGCAAATCCATTGCCATTGAGACAAGATATAGCCGTTTGGATACTAGTTTCTGCTGCTTCAGATTTAGAAGATCAAGTGGCTTATCAGTTGAAGGAACCAAACAGACATCCGGACAGATGGTGGAGACTAGCTCTTTTACTGAAAAATATGGTAATCATGGGGAGTGTGTTGGATCCTAGGTAATTCCAATATCCAGCATATTAATATAAATTCTCAATAGTTACTGCAGGATGCAATGTAGTATTTATCATTGTCAGAAATAATGGCACATCTTCATCAATCGTGAAAGTTCAACCATAGATTTTTTTATCACATGCGAGCTGCCAATGTAATTTTATACTCCTAAATTTTTTCAAGATATAGTATATTTAGTTTGAAGATAGGAATGAAATATTTGTTTGTGTAGAAAACAATCTTCTAGGAATTCATTCCTATCTTCAAACTTAATATACTATTTCTTTGAAATCATGATTTGTCAAATGCTACAAAAGTTGTAAAGTAATATAGTTCTTCTAGGAGATGTGGTATAGTATTTGCTGAGCACATCTAATAACAGTCTGTTATTATCACAGAGCTTCTTCTGCCGTTGCCTCTGCTGATTATGGGATTATTGGCACATATGATGGTCTCGTGTACAAGTGGGAATTATCTACAGGGAAGAAGTTGGCCAATTTGATCTCTCTAAAATGTAAGTCGGATATCATTGCATTTCTTATGTTCATGTTTATTGCTACTTAATACAAACCTACAATAATCTGCATTTTTCTGAAATTCTATTGAGATCTTTTCTGTATGTTATCGATTAAATCTTTATGCTCATAATTCTTCTCAATACCTTTTTTTAATGGTTATCAAATCACTTAATGGATATTTCATTTTGAGATGCATCTTCGGAAGCACAACTTTAAAGCATTTGAATAAAATTATTGCTTTACATCCTAGTTAACTGTTGGTTTCCATTTTGAACCACGCACCTGGTGGTTATATCTTACTTCAAGTAACGTGAGTCTTGCTCAATTTTGCACTACATCCTTCAGTTTAGTACATTACCTTGAATCTAACTCTACTATTATCCCGACCACAGCAATGGGAAGCATCTTGTGTGCGTCAATCGAATCCAAATCTGGTGTACTGGCGGTAGCTGATGACAAATGCAGGTTACTGATTTTTAAACAACCACAAGTGATGAAGGTTCAAGATTTAGTCATCTGAAGACATCCTTCAGTCTGGAAGAGTGATGCACTCTGCCGGCTTTATGGCTCAAAATAATTCAAGAGGAACTTTCATTTGGATAACACGAGGGCTTGACATGCTTGTCAATCCAGTAGATCCATGATCTTTTCAACATGCATTGATGGCTATCTTTACCTAGGGTACTACTGTCCGGGTGCCAGTCACTGCTTCAAACATGAGATCCACAAATCCACAACATCTACCACAATTCAAGTTTTAGAAACTTGATCTTGTGATTCCGAGGGCCCGTGGCATGGTCCATGGTTCGTGCTTCCCTACCTGTAGACTACTAAAGGATACAGCCGAAGGGCCTTCTCTCAGTAGTCACAACGTTTCACCTGGGACGTTACATTTACTGTGTACATAGCATCATTTTGATCTTAAGGAAAAAAAAACCATTATAGGAATATCATATCTTCCCGTCGTTTTTTGCTCCGAAGGTTTACTGTTTACTGCCCATCAAAACCATGAAGCATGAGCACACTTCCGTGGTGTACCTGATGATCTTTGTCTTGGTGCCAACTGATGTATCCAGTTATGTTCTACGAACATTAGATTTCAACAGCTCTCATTATTGTCTAATAATCAACTCCACTGATTTACATCTTTTCCGTTGGGATCAGATTTTTGCTACTAGTTTAGGTGTTCTCAACATGGATCAGCAACACCAATCAAGAATTTTGTCGACTTCAATCGGATGATTCACCACAATCAGGTGCACCAGGTAAGGTGACGAGTTTTTTTCTAGGCTACTTGGGGTAACATACTTCATGCTGTTCTATATAGTCAAATGCCACCTGAAAGTTTTTGATGCTAGTGTTGCCCTTTGATGCTTCATTTTCAATGAATGGCACTAAGAATACTAACTTCCTTGAAGGGCATACACGTAAACATCATCTACCTCATCACCATCAGATATCCTAGGTTTGATACTATGAAATGAGGACAGCACAACCATACAGGCATAAGCAGTGTCAGGAGATGAAAGAATCCAAGGTACCACAATAAACCAGAATTCCATTAAAGATGAACATTTTATTGTCAACTAAAGTTTGAAAATGGGTAGCGGTACCAAACTGCAAAAATATAACATGAATATAATTAAGCGAAATGAAAAAAATCTGAAGGGGTAAATATATAATGAGCACCATTTCACAACACTAATGAGAAAGCAAATGATAAATATGATCAACTACTCTACTTCGCCTTGGCCGGGCCATTGGGCACTTCAGCAGCTACTTTGGGTGGGTTGAGATCATCCCATGCCTCAATCCATGTGACCATGGCGTCTGCAAGCTTGGTGAAGTAAGGGTCGATCTTGCCGAGCTTTTCCCTCACCTGCTTGGACAGTTCAATGTAGCATTTCTGCACGGTGGTGCACTCCTTGGAAAGGACTGCAGACTGGAAGAACGGGATCAGCTCTTCTTGCCAGAAGATACCTTTGTACTCTTTCTTCAGGTTCACAAAAGGGTTGCTGGCCTTGCTGTGCCAGATGTAAGGTAATCCTGTCTTAATTCCCAATCCCAAGTGATCGCAAATTACCTACATTAGAACATCAACAATTCAGAACTAGAGTGGCTTAGTAGAGTATCTTAGCTCTAGACGTACACTTCATCTAGTGTAAAGAACATACAAAATTGAAACATACTGAAGTTCTGATGCTAAGATTGATCCACCATAAGTCTAGTCCGATGAGATCATTTAAAAGACTGGTCTATCTAATAGAAAAACATAATGGCTGACCTTAGTACACCATCCAGCCCACATGTCATCGTAGCGCCCAATCGGCTGGCCATCACCCATAAGTCCAAAGTACATTGCAGGGCCAATCAGCTCACGGTCAAAGGCCAGGTTCATTCCACACATAGGAAACAATGTTCCCTTTGGTATGGTAAGAACCGCATCAACATACCTGACAAGAAAAGGCAGAGGACGGTCAGCAACACTGAGAAAATGTTCAGCAAACAATCAACAATTTAGATCTTTGTCACCGGACGCTGTACCTTGTGTTCCTCTCGCGAGGCTTGACGAGCTGAGTGGGAGCATCATAGTCAGGAATATTGAGCCAAAGACCGTGAGAAACAGCTGTTCGAGCACCTTCCCGGAGGCTGAAAGGATACCCACGAACAAAGTCTGCTCCTTCTCGGTAGGGATCATACAAGGTGTTGAAGAAGTGTGGAGTAGCAGGGGAAAGGAGATTCTTTATGTGCTGTTCGAGGGCATTGATCTCCTTACCAGTGGGATCTTTGGCAACCTGATTGAGAACATCAAATACTATGCTTTAGAATTAAACCCAAAGGACAACCACCAGTGAACACGCCACGATCCTGGTGACCTTCCACAGGTTGAAGTATACAATCCTAGGTAGCACTGGTGCACACTATTTACCACCTAGTGTGGTTACAACATAGAAAGTGAAAGAAAGGACAACCAATAAACATGGGCATATATCTAATCAGAGTTCATTTGGATTATTCTATAAGGAACCTATCTATAATATATTTGTAGCAATTGTTAATTGTCTGAACTGTTGAAATGGCACACGCAATTATGTTTGATCAGCATCCTTAGGCCACAAACCACAGTTGGCATGATTGATTCACCATTTTATTTTATTTTTCCAACGAGATCCAGAAAGCATGGATCCTAATTTTAATAGTCCAAGTTCAGATATTAAATTGCCATTTGATCACACAGTCAGATGATAAAAAATGAGATGAACAAAAAAAGCAACAAACAGATGATGAATTCATGATGAAGTCAACATTTGACTTGCATAATACATTAAAGGTTGGCAACCAGTGGGAGTGGCGAAATCTATGGAAGTAAATGGATGCAGCTCAGTAAGTTTGACCTTTTCTGATCAGGATCTGGCCAGATCAGGCTATAGAACAGCTTGTGATCCATACAGTGAGATCTAATATAAAAGTAGTGTGCTAAAAATATTATTTTGAACATTAAACTTGCATCTGGCATACAGAATATGAGAATCACCACAAGAAGAAGAAACAGATGATTAAGGAATAGATGTGACTCGATGTTGTTTCTGCAGGTCAAACAAATCTTGCATTCAGGCAAAGCTACGAAGTCGAAAACAACGAGTAAATGAAAGACAAAACAAATCTTCCTAATGTAAGATGAAACTCAATGCCGAAGCACGAAATCCCTAAATCCGACAAATCAGGAAGGGGGAGGGACAAAAATCACACTTTTCTCTCAGATCCAAACTCCCCTGGCTCTCACTCAAAAAACTCCAGATCTGAAAAGAAAGGAAGAGGCAGAAGACTCACGAAGCAGTCGTCGTCGATGGTGTAGATGTACTTCTTCTTGGAGACCATGTAGCCGAAGCAGCGGCAGGCGGAGTCCTTGAAGGAGATGCAGGCGGCCTTGGGGCCCAGGATGCGGTTGATGTCGTTTCGGTTGTAGAGCTCGTGGTCGAACCCCTCCGGCACCTTGATCGTCTTGCTCGGGTCCCCGTCCTGCACGATGATGAGGTGGTACGGCTGGAAGAAAGGCCGCCACATCTCCAGGAAATCCAGGTTCCGTATCGTCGGGATCACGATGTCGAGCTCATCCTTCAGCAATGGCGTGCACGGGATCGACGACGACTCCTTCGCCATTCCTCCTCTCTCTCTCTCTCTCTCTCCACACAAAAACCAGATCCAAGAAGAAGAAGGGAGAAGTGACGAGCAAGAGCGCGATGGTTTCCTCCGGAGGGAGGGGTTTCGTTCTCCATATAAATGGCGATGGCACGTGCCATCACGTGATGAAGCGTCGGTGCCGAGAATCCGACGGCGGATGTGAAGCTCAATAACCCCGTGATTCGTGCGAGATCTTCAGAATCCGATCTTGCGGATCCACTCTTCTACGTACTACCGCAACCGTCGATGAGATATCGAACGGTCACTATGATAGGAGATCATAATGCACGCTTTTTGACGAAATACTCTATCTAGCCTTGGATCTGATGCGAGATCAGAATATAGAGCCAAAGGAAAAGGTTCCATTGGAAGCCCACCGTTCAGGTCACATGGGTTTGGTAAGAGGCCATCATTCGTTGGCTCAGTCATATCAATTGCTTTCTCCCTCGTTTCTTCTGCGCCGTGAGATGGTGATGTGTGAGCTATCACCCGAGTAAAAGAAGCACAGTCTCGTGATTCATTTACTTCATTAATAATAATAATAATAATATAAAAACATATTAACAGGCAAAGCATAAATTTCTATATTTTGAAGTTGAATTGATAGGAATATATGAATAGACAAGAGGTGGTTTAACCCATCTTAATTACTCCCCTCTTCGATTGGAACCTGACCTAAATTAGGCCAAAAAAAATTGGTTCCATTCACCTTAGTCCTTCCCCAATCATCGAACTACAACGTGGGCGTTAATGGCTTCGCCCAACGACCAAACGCTTGACGAGAAGAAAGAAAGAGATGCTCTGCACGATGCAGACCACCTCCTTGCTGGCTTGCATGGGACTGTCCTCCATGGGGACCACGAAGCTGGGAGACTTGAATGGTGGTGGTGGTGGGTGAGAGGTCGAGTCAAGGACGCATCCGTCGAGTGTCAAAAGAGTTTGGTGGAGGGGAGTATATGTCAAATATAATAGCAGCAATTATTTGCACGTTGCATGCGCCACAGTTTCGATGGAGACGAAGAATCTTCTCACGTTCATGCATCACTACGCCATCTCACAAACCCTCTCTCTCTCTCTCTCTCTCTCTCTCT